CGTAAAGTATAACATGTCTTTACCGACGTAAATTATAGCATGTCCATACCGACGTAAAATATATAATGTCTGTACCGACGTAAAGTATAGCATGTCTATACCGACGTAAAGTATAGCATGTCTGTACCGACGTAAAGTATATCATATTTGTTCCGGCGTAAAGTATATCGTGTCTGTACCGACGTAAAGTTTATCATGTCCGTAAATGTACCGACGTAAAGTATATCGTGTCTGTACCGACGTAAAGTATAGCATTTCTATACCGACGTAAATTATAACATGTCTATACCGACGTAAAGTATATCGTCTCTGTACCGACGTAAAGTAAACGAGGTTTTTATAGAAATGAAGTATATCATGTCTGTACCAACGTAAAGTATAGCATGTCTGTACCGGCGTAAATGTCCGTAAATGTACCGACGTAAAGTATATCGGGTCTGTACCGACGTAAAGTATAGCATTTCTATACCGACGTAAAGTATATAATGTCTGTACCGACGTAAAGTATAGCATGTCTATACCGACGTAAAGTATATCGTCTCTGTACCGACGTAAAGTAAACCATGTTTTTATAGAAATAAAGTATATCATGTCTGTACCAACGTAAAAGTATAGCATGTCTATATCAACGTAAAGTATATCATGTCTGTAGTTACGTAAAGTATATCATGTCTGTACCAACGTAAAATATATTATGTCTGTAGTTACGTAAAGTATATCATGTCTGTACCGACGTAAAGTATATCATGTCTATACCGACGTAAATTATAGCATGTCTATACCGACGTAAAGTATATAATGTCTGTACCGACGTAAAGTATAGCATTTCTATACCGACGTAAAGTATATAATGTCTGTACCGACGTAAAGTATAGCATTTCTATACCGACGTAAATTATAGCATGTCTATACCGACGTAAAGTATATCATGTCTGTACCGACGTAAAGTATAGCATGTCTATACCGACGTAAAGTATATAATGTCTGTACCGACGTAAAGTATAGCATTTCTATACCGACGTAAAGTATATAATGTCTGTACCGACGTAAAGTATAGCATTTCTATACCGACGTAAATTATAGCATGTCTATACCGACGTAAAGTATATCATGTCTGTACCGACGTAAAGTATAGCATGTCTATACCGACGTAAAGTATATAATGTCTGTACCGACGTAAAGTATAGCATTTCTATACCGACGTAAAGTATATAATGTCTGTACCGACGTAAAGTATAGCATTTCTATACCGACGTAAATTATAGCATGTCTATACCGACGTAAAGTATATCATGTCTGTACCGACGTAAAGTATAGCATGTCTATACCGACGTAAAGTATATCGTATATGTACCGACGTAAAGTATAGCATGCCTGTACCGACGTAAATTTTATCATATTTGTTCCGGCGTAAAGTATATCGTGTCTGTACCGACGTAAAGTTTATCATGTCCATACATGTACCGACATAAAGTATATCGTGTCTGTACCGACGTAATGTATAGCATGTCTACACCGACGTAAAGTATATCATGTTTGTTCCGGCGTAAAGTATATCGTGTTTGTAGTTACGTTAAGTTTATCAAGTCCGTACATGTACCGACGTAAAGTATATCGTGTCTGTACCGACGTAAAGTATCGCATGTCTAAACCGACGTAAAGTATATCATGTTTGTTCCTGCGTAAAGTATTTCGCGTCTGTAGATACGTAAAGTTTATCATGTCCGTGCATGTACCGACGTAAAGTATATCTTATCTGTACCAACGTAAAATATAGCATGTCTGTACCGACGTAAAGTTTATCATATCTGTATCGACGTGAAATATAGCATGTCTGTACAGACGTAAAATATAGCATGTTTATACCGACATGAAGTATATCGTATCTGTACCGACGTAAAGTATATCATGTCTGTACCGACGTGAAGTATATCATGTCTGTACCGACTCGAAGTATATCGTGTCTGTACCGACGTAAAGTGTATCATGTCTGTACCAACGTAAAGTATAGCATTCTGTACCGGCGTAAAGTATATCGTGTCTGTACCGACGTTAAGTATAGCATTTCTGTACCGACGTAAAGTATAACATGTCTATACCGACGTAAAGTATATCGTCTCTGCACCGACATAAAGTATATCATGTCTGTACAGACGTAAAGTATAGCATGTCTGTACCGGCGTAAAGGATATCGTGTCTGTACCGACGTAAAGTATAGCATTTCTATACCGACGTAAAGTATATAATGTCTGTACCGACGTAAAGTATAACATGTCTTTACCGACGTAAAGTTTAGCATGTCTGTACCGACGTAAAGTATATCATGTCTGTACCGACGTAGAGTATAGCATGTCTATCCCGACGTAAATTATAGCATGTCCATACCGACGTAAAGTATATAATGTCTGTACCGACGTAAAGTATAGCATGTCTATACCGACGTAAAGTATAGCATGTCTGTACCGACGTAAAGTATATCATATTTGTTCCGGCGTAAAGTATATCGTGTCTGTACCGACGTTAAGTTTATCATGTCCATACATGTACCAACATAATGTATATCGTGTCTGTACTGTCGTAATGTATAGCATGTCTATACCGACTTAAAGTATAGTATGTTTGTTCCGGCGTAAAGTATATCGTGTTTGTAGTTGCGTAAAGTTTATATAACATGTCTTTACCGACGTAAAGTTTAGCATGTCTGTACCGACGTAAAGTATATCGTGTCTGTACCGACGTAAAGTATAGCATGTCTATACCGACGTTAAGTATATCATGTTTGTTCCGGGGTAAAGTATATCGTGTATGTAGTTACGTAAAGTTTATCATGTCCGTACATGTACCGACGTAAAGTAAACCATGTTTTTATAGAAATAAAGTATATCATGTCTGTACCAACGTAAAGTATAGCATGTCTATACCAACCTAAAGTATAGCATGTCTGTAGTTACGTAAAGTATATCATGTCTGTACCGACGTAAAATATATTATGTCTGTAGTTACGTAAAGTATATCATGTCTGTACCAACGTAAAATATATTATGTCTGTAGTTACGTAAAGTATATCATGTGTGTACCGACGTAAAGTATATCATGTCTATACAGACGTAAATTATAGCATGTCTATACCGACGTAAAGTATAGCATTTCTATACCGACGTAAACTATAGCATGTCTATACCGACGTAAAGTATATCATGTCTGTACCGACGTAAAATATATTATGTCTGTAGTTACGTAAAGTATATCATTGTCTGTACCGACGTAAAGTATAGCATGTCTGTACCGACGAAATGTATAGCATGTTTGTTCCGGCGTAAAGTATATCGTGTTCGTAGTTGCGTAAAGTTTATCATGTCCGTACATGTACCGACGTAAAGTATATCGTGTCTGTACCGACGTAAGGTATAGCATGTCTATACCGACGTTAAGTATATCATGTTTGTTCCGGGGTAAAGTATATCGTGTATGTAGTTACGTAAAGTTTATCATGTCCGTACATGTACCGACGTAAAGTAAACCATGTTTTTATAGAAATAAAGTATATCATGTCTATACCAACGTAAAGTATAGCATGTCTATACCAACCTAAAGTATAGCATGTCTGTAGTTACGTAAAGTATATCATGTCTGTTCCAACGTAAAATATATTATGTCTGTAGTTACGTAAAGTATATCATGTCTGTTCCAACGTAAAATATATTATGTCTGTAGTTACGTAAAGTATATCATTGTCTGTACCGACGTAAAGTATAGCATGTCTATACCGACGTTAAGTATATCATGTTTGTTCCGGGGTAAAGTATATCGTGTATGTAGTTACGTAAAGTTTATCATGTCCGTACATGTACCGACGTAAAGTATATCGTGTCTGTACCGACGTAAAGTATAGCATGTCTGTACCGACATAAAGTATATCATGTCTGTACCGACGTAAAGTATAGCATGTCTATACCGACGTAAAGTATATAATGTCTGTACCGACGTAAAGTATAGCATTTCTATACCGACGTAAACTATAGCATGTCTATACCGACGTAAAGTATATAATATCTGTACCGACGTAAAGTATAATAGAATCTTTCACCAACTATGAGGTGAGACAGGGTAATTTCAACCTGAGGGGTTAGATTCTCAAGTTGTCAAACACGAGGCTTGCCGAGTGTTTGGCAGCTTAAGAATCTTACCCCCAGGGTTGAGATCACCCTGTCTCACTCCCAAGGGGGTGAATGATTATTTTTCTCTTACCCTGTTTACCCTCTTATGCATTTTATATAGACGTTATATCAATGCAAGACAATGTTGATGTGATGCGTCTGAATTGTCGACGTGACGTCATTGTATTGTTGCCGTGACGTTATGGTATTGTTGCTATGACGTCATACAATTGTTGAGAACGTGCAAAGAACACGTGTAGCTTGTCTCAACCCTAGGGTGAGATAAGAAAATCTCACACCGCTAAAAGTGCGGATACACCTGTCCAGGGTAAGAGAATATCATGTCTGTACCGACGTAAAGTATATCATGTCTATACCGACGTAAATTATAGCATGTCTATACCGACGTAAAGTATATCATGTCTGTACCGACGTAAAGTATAGCATTTCTATACCGACGTAAAGTATATTATTTTTGTTCCGGCGTAAAGTATATCGTGTCTCTAGTTACGTAAAGTGTATCATGTCCCTACCGACGTTACGCATATCATCATATAATTTAACATTGAATTTCAATCTAACATAAGGTTACATGTATATTGTATGAATTTAAACACTTTATCCTGCCACCTTTATCGTTCTTAAAACAAGATGTTTTACATACCACTTAATACTGTCTTTTTGACATTCCCATTACGATATTAACCGGTTGATGTTAGTATATAAAGTATTTATCGAAGGTTTAGTATATTGATATATTTATTCATACGGTTGTGTGTACATGTATCTGTATATCCTATATATTGTATTAAAATATCTGCATAATTATTATTTCTTTTTCAGTTGACTGCAGAAATCATTAAAGTCCATGGAAATCCGGGTCACGCACTTGTGGAAAAGTCCAAGACAATCGGTGCCTCCATGATCGTGGTGGGGTCACGCGGGGTCGGCACCGTTCGGAGGACATTTCTTGGAAGCGTTTCGGATTATCTCGTTCACCATGCTCATATGCCAGTTCTTGTGTGCAAACATCCACAAGATATATAATAACTGAGTGAAAACATGGCAGTTACCCATATAGAGGACCAGTAGACGACCAGAATGATGTGTATAACAGAAACAGACTGTCAATGGTTATTACATGGCAAGTTATAATTGACCAAATTACTTTAAAAAAAAATAAAAAAAACATTAATGATACTGTATAAAGCCTTTAAGTATTTATTTTTTGAAATAAGTGTCGTCCAACTATCACTTACTCGACCAAATCAAATGTTTGTGAAATTCAGCAGACCTAACTTTTGTCACATACAGGTCTAGGGACCTCTTGTTCCACAACACAGACATGGATGTGCCGGCGTAAAGTATATCGTGTCTGTAGTTACGTAAAGTATATCATGTTTGTTCTGACGTAAAGTATCACTACTGGAAGCATATCCCATAAAAATCCCATGAAATTCCTTTGAAAACCCCATTAAAAAGCCTGGATGCCATTAATAAGGCCATGACATTTCGTCGAAGTTTTTTTCATGGGCTTGCCTAAATACCATGAATATATTTTTCATGGCCTTGAATACCCCATGAATCACACATACAACCCCTTAAATTTCAATGAATATAGTTGTCTGATACGAGTGTCAAGAACCAAGGCCATGATTTCTCGTCGCAAAAAATAATCATGGTCATAGTATGGCCCTGAAAAAATGAAATCATGGCCATGAATTCCGATGGTGTATTTCATGGCATTGAAATTTGGAAAACCACTGCCATTAAAATTAGTTGCTCTAAAAGTGTCCGAGATACCAGATAGTTCAAGGCCACGAAGAAAAATATCATGGCGTCCAAGTAAAGACATGAAGAATTCATGGCCATGAAAAAGTAATTCCACAGCTTCTGGTAAAGATCATAAATTCATGGCCATGAATTTTTCAACAAAGGCCATGATATCTATATATATATCATCATAGAAATTTTTAATATAGTGTTCACCATGCATGTTCATGGCCATGAATATTTACAGAATTAATTAGGGTATATCATGGTATATATATATGTTGGAACGATTTATCATATCACAACACGAGTGTACATTTGGCACATCACGATAAATGTACTTCGTAAATACGAGAAAATATATGCTGAAAACTGCTGAACTGTTCAGGATAATGCTGAAAAATGCTGAACTGTTCTGTTAAATTTTTAAGCCGTTATTGTTTTCGATAATAAAAGAAATGAGAATTTAATGCTCATGAAACTAATTTTTATGATCATTAAATTAATTTCTTTATTTTTAATGATCATTTATTAACTGAAACAAGTGTAGTTAGAAGAAAGTTGATGGTCAATAACTATAACATCAGTTTCCATGATCAAACCTTCGAATCTAATATACTAAGTTAATAAAGTCCGAGAGATCCGAGTAAATACTATGTGGATGACTCCCGAGTGTTACCGAAAAGATAAACAAATATGGCTGCCGTAGAAGACGAACCGCTATGTCCAAGACAAACTTTCGACTCTAATGGGCTATAAAAGATTAGACAGTATGATAAAATGGAATACACATGACAGGTATGATGTTATATCAACACGCTGAACAATCGTTTTGAGTATAAACATGTGTTTCCCGTAAAAATACAGATTACATCTAGCGGTGGACTTGTCGTCTGCTGATACACATTGATTGGTTCAATATGCAGTCTTCACCTCGCATTTAAACACTTATATCGTTAATTTACAGACTAACAACATAATACTACGACCTTATTTGGATGGAATACTTGTATCATGTTACAATTTGATGAAATACAACAATATGAGATAATTTACACCCGAATTCCCGTATAAGAGTACAGATGGTCGGTGTTCATATCGGACTATGTAAGCTACACACTTCAACATCTCACATTATGATTTAAAACAACATCTCACATTATGATTTAAAACAGCATACGTATGGGATGACACAATCTCATAAAATATAACAATCTCAAAGTATTCAATGTGAAATTCGTGTATAATAATGGAACAATAATACTAACACTTTCTAAAGTTCTATAGCTACATGTACAAGACATGATCACACAAATATAGATATACTTCATTCACTGACCATATGTAACTAGTGATCATAGGTTTGTGTAATTCTTGCCTTCTTAAGTTTTATGTACTTTAAATCATGATCTAGATCTGCATCAATAATGGAGACATTCAGATTGTAATAAACAGCATCATGACAACACACACAAATATTTGTATCTAATTTTGATGATTGACAAGTTTGCATTTTTGGATTCTCGGGTGAAGGTCAGACAGTGTCATCCTTTTTAAATTACTAAAATAGAAAGATTTTGTGACAGAAAGCAGGAGGGCATTCATGTCGTTCTAACTTCTAAATTTATTTTTATTATTTGAAGACGATATATATATAAAAAAAAATCACTTAGAAAACGGCTTAAATGGACTAAAGTTACCCATCACTACAGTCAGTAATTGCCCTAAATTTATCTAACAATAATTTGAGAAACAAGACATTTTTTTTTTTTTTTTGGTCCTAGTGTTGAAGTGTATGTTGTATTGTTTAGCAAACAGTGATTAAGAAGCATTGTTGAAATGTCCCGGAACTTGCTTAATGTTGTTTGGCTAGAAATCACAGTAAGGTTTGCTTATGCATATATCAGTTGGCTTTGCTGAAACATTTCTGAATTGTTCCTGAAATCTTACGGCAATATCTGATGATGAAACCCAATGATTATTGACTTTCTATTCAATTTTCATTCACACACAAAATAGCATAAAATGATAAAATGTAATTTTGTTTGCTGGTTTATATTTTAGTGGTTAAACACAACTTTATAAAGACGAGATCGACACACGAAGGAACATCTGATCTTACCTGTGTAAATGGAGGTGGTTCATGTTCTCGTTCCTCTCCTTGTTTTTGTTTAAATCCGGAAAGTACTCCGATAATATTTTAACTGTTTAAACATGCAGCCTAGCTTTATATATGCCTGTATTATTTATGAGTTTCATTTTTCGTGGTGGAGCATAATTTTTCATGGCCATGAAATTATATGTAGTTTTAATCCGTGTATTTTTCATGGTAGGATTTATTTTTTATTTTCATGGCCATGAAAATTGCAAAAAAAACCAACCTTTTTTCTGTTTCTGTTTGTTCTGACGTAAAGTATATCATGTCTGTAGTAACGTTAAGTTAATCATGTCTGTACCGACGTAAATCATAGCATGTTTATACCGACGTAATGTATATGATGTTTGTTCTGACGTAAAGTATATATCGTGTCTGTAGTAACGTTAAGTTTATCATGTCTGTACCGACGTAAAGTGTATCATGTTTGTACCGACGTAAAGTATATCATGTTTGTTCTGACGTAAAGTATATATCGTGTCTGTAGTTACGTAAAGTATATCATGCTTGTTCTGACGTAAAATATATAATTTTTGTTCTAACGTAAAGTATATCGTGTCTGTAGTTACGTAAAATTTATTATGTATGTAACGACGTAAATCATAACATGTCTATACCGACGTAAAGTTTATCATGTTTGTACCGACGTAAAGTATATCATGTTTGTTCTGACGTAAAGTATATATCGTGTCTTTAGTAACGTTAAGTTTATCATGTCTGTACCGACGTAAAGTTTATCATGTTTGTACCAACGTAAAGTATATCATGTTTGTTCTGACGTGAAAGTTTATCGTATCTGTAGTTACGTAAAGTATATCATGTTTGTTCTGACGTAAAGTATATCATGTTTGTTCTGACGTAAAGTATATCATTTTTGTTCTGACGTAAAGTATATCATGTTTGTTCTGACGTTAAGTATATCATGTTTGTTCTGACTTAAAGTATATCATGTTTGTTCTGACGTAAAGTATATCATGTCTGTACCGACGTAAAGTTTATCATGTTTGTTCTGACGTTAAGTATATCATGTTTGTTCTGACGTAAAGTATATCATTTTTGTTCTAACGTAAAGTATATCATGTTTGTTCTGACGTTAAGTATATCATGTTTGTTCTGAGTTAAAGTATATCATGTTTGTTCTGACGTAAAGCATATCATGTCTGTACCGACGTAAAGTTTATCATGTTTGTTCTGACGTAAAGTATATCATGTCTGTACCGACGTTAAGTATATCATGTTTGTTCTATATAAACAAGTATATATCGTGTCTGTAGTAACGTTAGGTTTATCATGCCTGTACCGACGTTAAGTATATCATGTTTGTTCTGACGTAAAGTATATATCGTGTCTGTAGTTACGTAAAGTATATCATGCTTGTTCTGACGTAAAGTATATCGTGTCTGTAGTTACGTAAAATATATAAATTTTGTTCTAACGTAAAGTATATATCGTGTCTGTAGTTACGTAAAGTATATCATGTTTGTTCTAACGTAAAGTATATCGTGTCTGTAGTTACGTAAAGTTTATTATGTATGTAACGACGTAAATCATAGCATGTCTATACCGACGTAAAGTTTATCATGTTTGTACCGACGTAAAGTATATCCTGTTTGTTCTGACGTAAAGTATATATCGTGTCTTTAGTAACGTTAAGTTTATCATGTCTGTACCGACGTAAAGTTTATCATGTCTGTACCGACGTAAGGTATATCGTGTCTGTAGTTACGTTAAGTTTATCATGTCTGTACCGACGTAAAGTATATCATGTCTGTACCGACGTAAAGTTTATCATGTCTGTACTGACGTAAAGTATATCATGTCTGTTCCGACGTTAAGTATATCATGTTTGTTCTATATAAACAAGTATATATCGTGTCTGTAGTAACGTTAGGTTTATCATGTCTGTACCGACGTAAAGTATATCATGTTTGTTCTGACGTAAAGTATATCATGTCTGTACCTACGTAAAGTATATCATGTCTGTTCCGTCGTTAAGTATATCATGTTTGTTCTATATAAACAAGTATATATCGTGTCTGTAGTAACGTTAGGTTTATCATGTCTGTACCGATATTAATATCTGCTTAGTTTACAAGCGACATACATACGAGCAGCGTATTTGTCGTGTACGAGATTTCTTTTACACTTATTTCATCGCGATTTCGATGACGGTAGTGAATAAGATTAAATGCATTAGTATGGTTAGAGTGTGGATTTAAATGTGCACATGCCTTCTATTCAAATTGAACAGCAACTGTGACTCATCAATGT